GGGGGGGGGGGGGAGAGCCTGATTAGATTAGGTGTGGAGCGTGCTCCGGGATGGAGGGCGGGGATTCTTGCTGAAACTGGATTTTGCAAGGAGGTGCGCAGATGTGCCTGGGAGAAGGTTCAGGAGCCTGACTAAAGTTTGGTCAAGCGAAGAAACTTTCTCAGCTCTTGAGCTGGGACCTGCACCCACCCAGGTTGGGGGGGCATGGTCCCGGGGGTGGAATGCCCACGACTCTCCCTTCCCTCCCGCAGGACAGCCTTCGCCGAGTGGACGTCCAGCTGCTGGGCCAGCTGTGCAGCCTGGGGCTGGAGATGGGGGAGCTGCGGGAGGAGCTGGTTGCCTTCCTGGAAGAGGAGGAGGAGGAGCCTGAGGGGAAGCAAGAGGAAGGACACCTGGGGGTCTCCTGCCCAGCCTCAGGCCACCGCCTCCCCGACTTTGAGATGACTATCTGAGGCCCTGCCTGAGTGCTTCTCATCGGCATATGCAACTTTATGCAAATTAGTGTAAATTTATGCAAAGAAGGGTGATTTGCAGGTCAGGTCAACCTGCAAAGGTTCTGAAGGTGCCCGAGATGAGATTCAGGGCCGGGCCTGTGAGCTGTGGGCGCGTTTGAAGATGACGTGGGAAGTTTGCAGAAAAACTATATTTGCAGATGAGCCGCAGGACAGTTGAGAGGACATGCGGGTCTTCGCAAGTAGAATGGAGACGCTGGCAGATCAGGGCTTAGATCAAGGCCCTCCACTGGCTCCACCTGGCTGCCGAGCACCTGGAATTGGCGGCTCTAATTGCGGTGCACTGTCAGAGCTAACTTTTCCAAGGCTTTGGTATAAGAATATAAAACATTTCAATAATCCTAAAAAGTAATTACATATTGAAATGATAATATTTTGAGTATATTGTGATACATAAAATATTAAAACCAATTTCACTTGTTTATTTAAGAGTTTTTTTATTGTGGTAAAATATACATTAAAAATTAACGAAATAACGATTTTATTTTTTTTTTAATCCTCACCTGAGGATTTTTTTCCTTTGCTCTTCAGAGAGAGTGAGAGAAACAGAAACATCAATGTGAGGGATTGCCAGGGGCCGGGGATTGAGCCTGCAACCCCCTTGGCAAGAATCGAACCCGAGACCCTTCTGCCCGAGGGCAGACGCTGTAACCAGTGAACCAACTTGGTTAGGGCGCTGAGGAACTTTGAGGGATACAATTTGGGAGAGATGCGAATATCTCGGTCAAGGAAAGTTCCTAATGCCGAGCTCTGGTGTCCTCTCCCTGTGGAGGGAGGGTGCTGCCCTCCCCTGGCACAGCCCTGTGTTCACCACCCAGGACCCTCGCTCTGTCCCCCGTGTCCAGAGTTTTTACTGGGGTTACATCCCGGAGACATGATTTTTCATTCTCAACCATGTGATGGAAGCCAGTCTGCAGCTTCCCCTACCCTCTGTGGAGGTCAGGCTGACCCCAAGCCCCAACCTTCTTGTCACTCGATTAGTCTTTCTGGGGACCCACCCCCTCCGGGATCTTGTGGTATGAACTCAGGTGTAATCCAAGAGGTTCGTGCGCAACAAAGGCACTGCTATTATGAGAAAACGCCAAGAGTTTTAGAAGTTACCTCCCAGGAGCCAGGGAGGAAGACCAGATAAATCATTGTACAAAGCCCAAGCCTGCACTTTCGGAATCCATTTGGCATTCATTTACTCCAAGCTTCCAGGGGCTGTCTCAGCGAGCCTACACCCTGGGGCCATTGCCAATGGGCTAAAAAGTCACAGGGGACAGGAGCTTGTCCCTTCTTGGCACACTCTCCTTTATTCAGGTTTATGGTTCCTCACCCTTAGGATCCTCAGAACCCCGGCTCCCAGGATACTCGCCCGACCCTTCTAGCGCCTGTTAGCCTGCTTCTGTAATCCCCTTGCAGTACAGCCCCCCTTCCTTTAGCCAATGCAAGAGTTCCTTCTGGTTACCCTGAAATTTGGCGCTAACTGTGGGTGTGGTGACCAGAAGGGCTGGTGGGCCCTGCTCGTGATGGGTCCAGCATCGTCTCCTAAGGCACCTTGTCTTGCTTCTTTGGAGGCAAGTCTTTCAAAAAGCAGAGCAGGCCTTAGCCGGTTTGGCTCAGTGCTTAGAGCGTCGGCCCCAGGACTGAAGGGTCCCAGGTTCAATTCCGGCCAAGGGCATACACCTGGGTTGCAGCCAATCGATGTGTCTCTCTCTTTCTTGTTTCCTCTCTCTGAAAAGCAATGGAAAAACTGTCCTCAGTTGAAGATTTTAAAAAAAGCGAAAAAGCAGAGTGTATTAGTTTTCTATCATTGCTGTAACAAATTATCACAAACTTAATGGTTAAAATAGCACAGATTTACTAGCTTACAGTTTGGGCGGTCAGAAGTCGGAAATGAGTCTTAGACGGTTATAATAAAGGTGCTGGCAGGGCTGATTTTTTTTTTGGAGGGTCTAAGGGCAAATTCTTCTCTTGCACTCATTGGATCATGGCCCCTTCCTCCATGTTCAAAATACAAAAACCAAACTCTGCCTCCACCACATCCCCTTTTGACATTGCCCCTCCTGCCTCCCTCTTATAAAGTTCCTTGTAGTTATATGGGGCTCACCAGGATAATCCAGAATTATCTCCACATCTCAAGATCCTTAATTTAATCCCATCTGCTGTTGGGGGAAAGCCCCAAAAGTCTAAATTCAGGATTGACTCCCAAGAACTGACACATAGGCTAATTCAAATTCATAAGAGCTTTAATTGGAGAAATTTATATACATAGCAAAGCAGCAGTTCCCAGTAGTGGCTGGTGGGGAAAAGCTGTACCCCTCCCAGGACAGGATTCCTTTTACAGGGGGTTAATTATACAATCAGATGGTGGGTAGTCATAGACCACCACAAAGAACAATGCATTTCTAAGTTAACAGATGACATCAGGCAGTTATCACACTCTATACATTCATTAACCTCCTTCCTGGGGACATGATGTTTGTCTTGGGCAACATTTGGGTTTTCTGGGTAGTCAGCCCAGCCTGAGGCTACAGAGAGTTAAACAGTCACAGAGAGGTCAACATTCCCCAGACGCCTTGCTGTTGAAGCCATATTGCATCTCTAAGGTGAGCTCCCCTGCACTCCACCCCAGATGTGCTATGTGTCCTTCCATTCTACACAACAATCTTCTTCGAATTCCCTTGGATACTTTGTACCACATGGTTTGGAGTCTGAGGGGACAACTCCACGGAGGCCTAGCATAATCAACAAGCAGGTGACAACTCCTCTTAGAGCCCCCTTCCCAGGTAATGATAAAGACTAAACCAAGCGGACAGAGGGTCAATCCCTAACCGCTGAATGGTAGAGACTTGGCTCTTCCCTGGGAGTCTGAAGAAAGCATTTCTCCACGGACCCAGTAGTTCTCCCTATGGAGTGAGGCCAGCGTGTGAGCCCGGGTGGCAAATAGGTGACCTTGCACACTTTGGCTGGAAAGACAGACATTGCAGGCACAAGCAATGGCAAATCACAAGCTTCAGGCAAAATACAGGCTACTTTGTCATCTGTACTGAGAACCGTGGCTGGGGGCGGTTGTGCTCTGGTTTGCAACACCACATTGAGTTCCCGGCTGGGGATGGGGCAACTGTGGGCCCTAACGTATCCGGGGGAAAGATAATACAGTAAACCCTCAATTTTGTGAACCTCAATATAACACACTTTGGATTTAACAAATTTTGGATTTAATGGACAACATTTCCAGTCCATATGTCACATGTGACAATTAACACTTTGTTAATTTTAAAATGCTTTTAACCAAGATTTGCTTATAATTAAATCAACAGGTTATTTTTTTGTTATTAATCCACTGTTATTTTGAGCAAATTTTAGCAAATAGGCTATATGTTGATAAAAACACTGTAGTAATTTCACCGACATAAGTAAATGTTACATATCTACGACTCGTCTACATATTTAAATCCAAGAGTCACTGCTCTGAAACGATGTTCGGGGGAATGAACAGCACGTGACCACCCAGCCTCGCGTGTGGTGACTGGTTCCGCTGTTCCGTGGCGTGACTTTCTGCAGCGGCTTTAACGCAAACCAACCAACATTCCGATGTGCGCTCAGCCAGGTCCCAGCCGGGTGCGTTTGTTAACTCCCGGTGACTGGTGAATGCACATAGTTACTAGACCTATCCGTATACATTTAAAATTATTGTAATACATATAGAAAACTTATCTGTGAAATTAAACTTTTCTAACATACCTAATTTTAATTACACTAACATGTCTACATACGTAAGTAAAAACAGATAAACTAACTTGTCAATTTTTTAACATACTCATTCAGAAAACCTACTTTATTATATAACAGACTTTTAGCTTTAATAGATATGCCCTCGCCAGAACTGATGTATTATATCAAGCTTTCACTATAATTCGAATCAAGATTTTATCCCTCTCTGTAGGAGCCAATGAGCCCAGACCATCTGGGGGGAACCCGTAGGTGACTGGTCCCTGGCCCTAGGTCGTGTGGAGCCATCAGTAATATGGCATATGTGGCCCCAGTTGCAGAGTCCATTCAACAGTCGAGCTCTCAGCAGAATCCTCGTCGCTGTCAGCAGTCTGCTGGTTAAGAGATGACATGCACTGGGACGGGCTTGCCTGGCGTAACTGTTGAGTCCCGTCAGAGCTTATGACAACCCATCCCTGTCCTTCTAGGTGCTCCAGCAGACTCTCTGCCGCCGTATGTAAAATAGCAAGGTCTTTACCGGTTAGCATAATGTTCTTGTCCATATAATGATGTAATGCCACCCCCTCCCCACCTTTCCATACAGATAACCTTCTGCTACTAACTGTAACAGATGGTGGGGTTCCGAGGTGGCCCTGCGGCCACACCTGAAACGTCCAGCGTTCTCCATTCCAACTGAAGGCGAATTAATCCTGACTTTGAGGGTCTATAAGACTACTGAAGAAGGCGTTAGCAAAATCTAATACAAAATGGCATGTGCACAGAGATTCAATGACTTCATTTAGTAATTGGGTGCTATAAGGTAGAGCAACGTGGACTGGGGTCCCAGGAGTCCACAGGCACCCGCCGTGACCTGTCTGGTTAGTCCTGAAACTGCTTATGGACTAACCAGACGGGTCTATTAGAAGAGCTATGGGTGGGGCAGACAATGTCCACTCCATTTAGCTCTTTCACCATAAACGACACCGTCTCTCATACATAACCTCCCTGCAGGGAGCCCCCGGCGATGTCAATCATCTCGTCATCCTCAGACAAAAGGAATGAGAGCAACGAAGCCTCCGTGGGCCTCCCCTAAGTTTGGGGATCCCAATTTACCTTGATCATGACTGTTGAGACAGGAGGCTACCACGTAGGCTAAAGTTTCGACCTTCTAATCGCTTTCCCACCAACACAGTGAAAATCCTCCAATAGGTCTCTAATCGGAGGTCACCTTCCGAAGGGCGATT